AGGATCGAGTAGAGAGATTGGATAGTATGTATGTATTGAGGTAGTTGTGGTCGATGCTGTGATGAATGGAATTGCGATGCTGGTGAACAACTACATTTTTTCAGCTTCATTGTTATGTTCAAAATTGGTGCAAGAGTTGTAGGTTATAATGCCCACTGAGCCAATGAGGCCAAACTCAAGGAAGACCAACCAAAATTAATGAAATATTCAGTTGCAGAAAATTCCATAATTTGTCTTTTTTGGGGGGTTGGAATATGTTCAAAAGTTAGATTTCTGCATTCTGTCACACACACACACAGCTACATAAATGGCTCTAAGTGCATTCATGTGTTGAATAAACAAAGATTACATGTTAATGTTTTGTAGTACCCTTATTTCATTGTGTTACATTTCACCCCAGGATATGTTACAACTAACCCAGACTATGGGGTTAATTGTAACATTTCACTCTTTGTGTTTGAGACCATACCATGCAATGGGTAATTGTGCTGCAGAGAAAATAGCTGCACTATTTAATAGCCGAGACATGTAAATACTTTGCATTACATTTTGAATCCACTACCTTAAAAGAGCTCCAATTTACAGACAGAAATGTCAAAAATGTTACAACTATCCCCGGTCTCCCCTACTTTTTTATTCAATTATATGATAAAATAGGTATTGCATACTTTGAAATGAGTCATTTTCCAAGAGAGAAACTTTGTGAACAGACTCTATCAAATACATTGGTACAGAAAACAAAAAATAAGACTTCTTGACCTTCCTCAGCTTACACTGTAAATGAAACAAAAGAAAAAGAAGAGGAGGAAGAAGGAGAGTGCAAAAATACTTAAATCTATGGCATAAATGTGAATTTATACTGTCCATTTGTTCAGTGTAGGTTTAGTGTTTTGTGGGGGTTGGAGCTTCCACTGTGTGACTGCAACAACAACCCTATTTTTACATATAAAACTTTTATTTTAACTGCTGTAATTGGAGATGGCCACTGGATGTCAGCAGAGAAGCAACTTTAAAAAAATGGAAGATAAATGACAGAAAAACAGCGGACATTAAAAACTAATGACACTAACATCATTTTTGTCATGGTCTCATCCTCCATGTGTGGACCAGCCATCTGGAGGAGCGGTGGAGAACATTGTGCTGTCTGCAACATGATTCAGTGTGATCGGTTTGGTGGTGAGTCATGATGATCTGGGGAGGCATACCCATGGATGGACACACAGACTTTTACAGGCTAGGCAACGTCACCCTGACTGCAATTAGGTATCGTTTTGAAATCCATAGACCCTGACAGGCTTTACCCTGATAAATAAAGCATATATAAAATTCATTTTGCTAAAACCTGGTTGAAGCTTCTATACTGTGGCAGGAGTACTGTTTCTGTCTCAAAATGGCTTGATATAATTCATGAAAGACATTTCTGAGCTATGTTTGACAGATTATGCACCAACAAATAATATGCAACAGTTTAAATACCAGAAATCACTTTTGAAGGAAGATGAAGGAATTGATATAATTGTTTGGGCCCACACTCTCCTGACCTAAATCCACAGAGCACCTCAGGGACAACATGTTTCCATTCATCTGCACCAGGATGCACTTCAGTCTGTCCAGATCTGGGAGGAGATACCCAAGGAGACCGCCTGTTGTTTTATTAGGATCATGCTTCTATGCATACAAGCCATACAAACTACTGAGCACCACTTTGAGTTGCTGCAATAGAGCTTCAGCAAAATGTACTGGCCTGCTGAATCATTTTTTCTCTTTGATCTTCAGGGTGTATTCAGCTGTCTGTAGATTGATCATTTTCACTTCCATCAACCAAGGTTTCGTCATTTTGTTCCTAAAAATTACCCAGTCAATATCAGTATGATATCAGTATGAGCAGTCTATATACATTAAAGAAATGACGTTCTGCAAGTATCTTTATGATACTGCATTATCGTACATGCTATAATCAATCCAGCCCTCTTTGGTTCAATTACTATAGATTGTGGTGTTATATGTTGTGATTTCTGTTGACTGGTGGTCAGATCTGTTTTGAAAAAGGCATTTTTAATGCCAGTAACAGGCTGTACCCTGATAAATAAAGCATATATAAAAGTAATTTTGCCAAAACCTGGTTGAAGCTTCTATACTGTAGCAGGAGTATTGTTTCTGGTTCAAATTGGCTTGATAATACATCAAAGATATTTCTGAGTTACGTTTGACAGATTATGGACCAACAAATAATGTGCAACAGTTTAAATACCAGACATCACTTTTGGCACATCGGGAGTATTTAAACTGCTGTAAATGACTTGCTGACCTATAATCTCTCAAACAAATCTTTCATGAATAACAAACCACTTTGAGCCAAAAATGACATTTCTATCACAAGGCAGACGCGGCAATCACTTTTTGACAAAATAAATTTTACATGTTCTTTAAAAAGACTTATTTACATAAAGGATTGTGTCTTTTTTTGAAGACAGAGCTGGTCAGAAGGATTTGAAACAAATATAATACTTATAAAATTATTATATATGGATATTTTCATAATAAGAAATGAAGGACTAAACAAAAAAGGAAGGAAGGTTTTAAGGACTGGTTTACTGGAATAGTATACTTAACCTGGAGTTCATGTTCTGGTCCCAGAAGAGGTTTCTGCATAAATTGTTGTGATTTTGTTCAAAATTCCTTCATTACTCTGTTAACTTGCCCCAGCTGTGTCTCGGCAGTCCTCCTGTAGTTTAACCTTGACAATGTGAACATCTGCCTTTTTTCCAGAAAGGGTAACAGTCTTACTTGAATTAACAGTCACTAAAGACTGGGAATGTTTTGGTGTTTTTTTTCCCCCCATGTGGGTTCAGTTAAGAGCACCTTTATTCTCTTGGGCTGTGGGCTATGGGTTGGTAGATTTTTGGGCAGTTTCTTTTTAATTATTATTATTTGCAGATTAACTGTGAAACTAGACCACATTTCCAAAAGGAAAGAGCCACTGTATACAGTGATGGTGAGTGCAGCTTTTTACTTTTCACTGATTGTTACAGAACAAAATGCCACTCTGGTGCTACATTGAAACAGCAGTTCCTTGAAAGAGTTTCTGCATCTACAATCAACCCTCTAGGAGTTAAGTGAGGAATTCCTCTGGGATGGGGTGGATGGAGGACTTATAACTTTGATTAAAACCATCTAACTAGCACGATGGGTGGGTCTTTGTTCAGATCTACAGTAATTGTGTAGTTAATGGATGGAAAGCAATTTGGCCTGATAAGAGAATCTCCCATCAACTCCATCCATTAAGAATCACTTGGGTGTTGTATCATCTCTTCATTAAGATAAAACAGCATGTCTTATTTGTCCTGTAAGTTTCACAGCCAAGAATTATGAGATTTGTATGGGAAAGAATCTAAAATAAGAGTCATTGCAGTGATGAACATGTCAGCAACATGAGGGATATAGATTCCTGGGACAGAGGGTGGGTGGATAGGCACAGTGGGATGCAAACTGGGGTTATTTCCAAAACAGTAAGACATTAACACTCACATTTACTCTCTCTCTCTCTCTCTC